GGGGAGAGGGGTGCAACAATGAATGAATGGAATTCCAAAATCTCTATAGATGTTCATTGAAATGAAAAATAAAGAAATTAAAAAAAATGTTGTTGATGGGCATTTGTTGATGGAGCCTCACAGTAACAACTGATGGTGTAATGTGTAAAATATCACCCCCTCCCCCTTAAAAAAGTCAGAGGTTCAATCCACCGCTAAAAATCCACTGTTCAGTAAAAAGAAGGGCCATATCCTCTTTGTAAAGATTTATTTATAGCTTCAGAAACCTGAAGGGCTTGCAATCAATTCTATGGCAGTGGTTTTGATTTATTGAAAATAAGAAGCTTCTGATTTATTGAAAGAAGCTTCTTGACTAGCATTCACAACATACAAACTAACAGAAAAATTGGTGAGAAACGATGGGATAATGATGAGAAATATACTGATTCATGCTGACCTAGATAAGACAGGATTTATTCAGCACATGACAACAATATGGAAAGAGATCAAAGGAAATAAAATGAAAAAAGAAGAGGAAACGTAGAAGAGTAAATCAAGGTAAACATGATGGTTAGTCTGGGCAAAAGGGGCCAAAGAGAAGAATGAGGAATTTGCCATTTTTGCCCAGACTAACACATAAGTCAAATATTTAGAAGAAGAAATTAAAATAAGGGAGAAAAGTTTGCTGTCTATCTCTACTTTGACCTGGCTAACGGTGGAAATTTTGCGAGTAAGATAGAACACGGCACCTAACAACAACAAAATGATTTGATTCAACAACTGCAGTTCCTCTGTAGTTCTTTTCTTTCCGTTTGAACTCCCCATTTTTCAAGTGACTCAGGGCCATGAAATCTTTATATTATCTTTTACCCATCGAAGACAAAACTTTCAGAAGTATAAAAAAGAGGTAAGACTTTTAAAAGAACACATCTAGGAAAGAGAAAACCTAAGGTAACCACCGATGTATCTTTAGCTAAGAGGAAATGTTATGCCTCAAAGGGGTAGACGGGTAAGCGTGGGAACACACGAGACCAATTTCCTAACTGAACTCGCGGCTGGGGAAAGGATGATCTTGGTAATTTTTCTAACAACAACAAATTATTGTTGTGGCATTGTCATCCTGGGAAAATGGTAGATGGGGTGTGAATGGCCCCAAAATTTCTCTCACTCCACGTAAATACAAATGGCTGTAGCCTGGAGGCTCTGCTGTTAGGGACCTTTCCAAAGTGCTTACGAGCAGTGGTGTCTCTTTGGAGACTAAGGTGCGTCTGATACAGGCCATGGTCTTCGCAATCACCTGTTATGCATCAGAGAGTTGGACAATGGCCAAGGAGGATAGAAGGAGAATTGTTGCCTTTGAGCTGTGGTGCTGGAGAAGAGTATTGAGAATACCATGGACTGCTAGGAAAACAAACAGATTTGTCCCGGTAAGGGTTAAACCGGGTGGCTCCTTGGAGGCAAGGATTCTGAGGCTCTGTCTGACATACTTTGGACATGTTGTGAGGAGAGACAGGTCTTTAGAGAGGGACATCATGCTTGGGAGGGTGGAGGGACAGCGTAGGAGGGGAAGGCCCCCTATGAGGTGGATTGATTCAGTGACTGGGATAATCGGGATGGGTGCATCAGAGACGGTGTTATTGACACAGGACAGAGTTTAGGGCTGTTGTACATGGGGTCGCTATGAGTCGCAAGTGACTCGATGGCACATAACAACTAGCGTGGAGGGGCGGAAGGGCCCGAAGGTCACAGGTACGCCCTCTTGGTGTGTTTGGGGGTAGCTAAAATTCTGTCTTTCGAAGCAAGTGTTTCTAAGTGGCCTGACCAGTTTTATATGCTAAAAGTTTCTGTTAAAAACATATTTTAAGAATCCGCGGTGGACGCCAATCGTTTCAGCCAAATTTGGGCGAAGCGGGAAATATCGGTTGGGCAAACTCTTCACCGTCAAGCGTTAAGGCCAGAGACCTGGGGGCAGGTAGTGCCAGCTCCTAACCTTAGGAACAATTCTGAACCAGGTTTGTAACGTTATTATGAAGAACAAATAAAGTCTTTGGGTTAACCACTAAACTTGTCAAGCATACGTTTCTCAAGATTAAAACGGCACAGCCCGCGCGCGCCCTCGGGACAACCGCGGCTCTCGCAAATCGCGAGACTTTCCGTCATAATCCCGTCTGTCTCTGATTGGGAGATGCCACCCAATCATGTGAGTCCAGAGACTTTGCGTCATAATGCCGTCTGTCTCTCTGATTGGACGAGGCCACCCAATCATGTGAGTCCACCTTGGCCTATAAATAGGGTGGGAGAAAACGGTAGTCCGCCATTTCGTGGATGTCAGGGCGCTGATATCACTGTTTTGTTGGTGCTTGGACGGAGGAGCGTGGAAAGGACTCGTTCGAGGGTGTTGTTTTTTTCAGGCCTGTGCATTTCTAACTCAAGATTTCGGTAAGTAACCGTGGGCGAGGAGAAAAAAAAAAAATTCAACGGGAAGGCGGATTTACCCGTCCTTAAGGGTTTAACCGTCCCATGGCGACGCCAGGCTGAGACAAAGAAGCGCTGCCGCCATTTTGTGACGTTCAACACGGGGCGGTGATGGGGGGCTCCCAGCCCGTCGGAGGATGTTTCCTGGCTGTGGAGTGGAGGTGTTGGTTCTTTTTCGTCGTGGAGTAGTTACAGGCAGGGGGTGTGTTAGAATTGGGACAAAGAGGGAACCAGATTTTTAGCCAGATCGGGTTCCCGGCCGCGGCCTTTCCATTTATGGCGCCTTTTTCCCCCCCTCCCCCCCGCCCATTTCCTTTTCAAACCATGATTTTTTTTTCTCTCCCCCGTCTTAAAACATTAGTTTATAACGGACCGGTTACTCCTTACTAAACAGCCTCCGTTTGGCCCTCCCGTCCCCTCATCTCGACAAGTTTCTCCAATGATTTCAGTCCACTCTTCAGAACTTTTTTTTTTTTTAAAAAAACCCTCATTTTCGGTAAAAATAGAATTCACTCTGGGCACCGTGTGGAGTCAGTTAATAGGATGTATCTGGATTGGATTTTCTTTTCCGAAGATTAGGTTTTAGAAATACGTGATGTTTATAAAAAGACTTTAAAAGGAGGTTTAAGCCTTTAAACCCTTTTAATAGGATGGGTTTTCAATGGAAACTGGTTTATTTTGATGTGAGATTCGTAGTATAAAATAACCATTCTAAACTGAGTAAGTTAGTAGTTAGAATATTGTGCACCTTTGGGCAAATTGCTAAATATTTATAAAGAAGAATCTTTACCTCTGAAACGTGGGCTTTGTGCAATAGAATTGTACTCTGTAGGTTTTTCAGTTTTGTGATCAAAGTAAAATATTTAATCTGAATAACATTCTTTGGGAAAAGCACATTTATCATTTTATTTGTTAATAGTGTTTGTGCTCTTGTTTTGGTGTTGTTTTTTTTTTTTTAAATCAGAACAGTTAAAAATATCCCAGACTAATACTAAGAGTGCTCGTGCACTACCATTTGTATTGGTACCTGTTTGCATTCCTGTAGTACATCTGGTACAGTTGAAGTAACTTGGGTTTTTTTTTTTGGTTTTTTTTTTTTTAAGTAGCTTGGTTTTTTTAATATTGCAAGGCTGATTTGCTCCTGAGCACATGTGTCTTTATATTACTCTTTAGAATTAAACAAATGAACAGTGGTTAAAAAATTCACCTCCAGTATTATATTCCCAGATAGGGCTCCCCCCCCCCTTATTTTTTTCTTCCCCTAAAGGTGGGGGACTTTATGAGAGTGTCAAGATTTTTAAGATCTTTGATAAACTGAATCCTATACATAGCATAACAATGCTTAATAACATTTTCTGTATGCATAGTTTAGTGGTATTGGCTAGACATGCTATGGAATATGGAACCATCTCTTGCCACCAACAACCCTTTTTACTTCCTAATGATTCTTGAGGTAACTACTAAGAAACACTACCTATTTGATATAAGTGGAGTCATAAAGTTTATTTTTTCATGAGTGAGTAAACAATATAAAGCTACATCTTGTACCACGACTTTGTCATAAATGCCAAATATGCGTGTATTACGTAATTGGGGGGGTGATATTTATTTTTCAGAGCTTTTAAATCCCCCATCCCCAATCTACTTAACCTTGTGTAGGTTGTTGGAATTAATAAGGAATTTTTTTAATATTTTTCCCCTTTTTTTAATTACAGAAATGCATCGTGATTCCTGTCCATTGGATTGTAAGGTTTATGTAGGTAATCTTGGAAACAATGGCAACAAGACCGAATTGGAACGGGCTTTTGGATATTACGGCCCACTCCGAAGTGTGTGGGTTGCTAGAAACCCTCCTGGCTTTGCTTTTGTTGAATTTGAAGATCCTCGTGATGCAGCTGATGCTGTTCGAGAACTAGATGGAAGGTAATTTAATGGTTGACAATGTATTTTTACTACTTTGTTTAGGTCTTCAGAATCTTGCCTGCTTTGGATGACTTCCAGCTCTGCATTGTCACTTTTATTACAGATTTTTGTAAGCCTTTTCTACAGAAGACCTAATGCCATCTTGGTGGAAATGTGTAGGAAAAGTTCACTTTTTCAGTTGGTCGTTGAAAAATGCTCATTAAGAAATGTAATAGTCCAAGTTCTTGGATTTTTCCATTTCTTCGGGTTGGTTAGAAATAGCATCTAGGCTGGGAATGCAATAATTACTGCTTTGTTGGTTTTTTTAAAATCTTTTTGTATACCGTCGAATCCAATCTGACTAGCACAGGAGGAGATTGCCCTTCCTCCAGCAGAGCATCTGGTGGATTTGAACCACATCCCTTCAGGAATAATTATTGCTTTAAAGGGCTAGCTACACAAAGGTTTTCTTACTTGGGTTTGAAATACTTCACCCATGAAATGCGAATTTATTAACTTTTTTGTGTATCTGTTAGCATAGCTTTTAGCTGCCTGAATAAGTAACTCCTAAATCTTTATAGAAACGAGATTGGCTTTTATTTTGTAACATTTGAAAATAAGAGGCCAAGGAAGAAAAACTGAAGGATTTTTGTTCCTAGGCTCTTGTTTACTTGCACTCTTTTCTTATTTGCCATAACAACTGGAAGGTTATAGACATTTTCCCCGCTTACTGTCTAGATGGTTGTGACTATAGAAAGTTGGGGATGTGACTGCCTTAGTATTCCTGGCTATAATTTTTCTACTCAAATACTGTACTGTAGGATGTCTAGAACAATCTGATCCCTTGTCTTCTAGGAACTATTTGTGAGTAGTTCTGTAACAGTAATGCTGGGTTTAAAGGGAGGGCACAGTGGAGAGAAGTAAATTCTTTGAGGATGAAGTGTTTTTGTTTTAAAATATATTGCGTGTGTGAACCATCAAATTAGATCTGACTGGTACAGGAGATTGACCCTCCTTCTCCAGCAGAGCATCTGGTGGATTTGAACCATGTACCTCTGGCATTACAGTGCAGCTTCTTGCCACTAGGCCATCAGAGCTCTCTGAGGATGAAGTTTTTAAAGCACTTAATAACTTTTTTTAATATTTATTTTATTTTTGTGTGTGTATCATCAAATCGGATCTGACTGGTACATGAGATTGTCCCTCCTTTTCCAGCAGAGCATCTGGTAGATTTGAAACATGTAACTCTGGGATTGCAGTGCAGCTTCTTGTCACTAGGCCACCAGAGCTCCCTTGCACTTAATAACTTTAAAGAGCATGCACACACATTTTTGTATATCTAGAGAGAACAACTTAACAAATTAAAATTAGTACTTTAATGAAATGGACTTTGAACATGTAAATTATTTCATTTCCCTACCAGAACATTGTGTGGCTGCCGTGTAAGAGTGGAACTATCAAATGGAGAAAAAAGAAGTCGGAATCGAGGTCCACCTCCTTCCTGGGGTCGTCGTCCTCGAGATGATTATCGTCGGAGGAGTCCTCCACCTCGTCGCAGGTACTTGAGAGAGTGTTTTAAGATATTGGTGTAATGGAGTAGCTAGTAGGATCAGGTATTTCTCTTAAAGAATGTTGATGGGTTTTAAACGTACATTGTGAAGAATCGGAGGTTTGTTTTTTATTTACTTTTTTTTTTTGAGATACTTGCTAGGCATTAGTTTTGGGGTATGTGAGTTGTGCTGAGTGTTGGCTTTTGTCTTAAGGTCACTTCATGTTGGTAGTTAGTAACTTCTATCTTGGCTCTATCTTCTAGTTCATCTTCTAGTGGTATCTTTCCAAGTCTTCCCTTATACTTCAATTTAGGCTTTTTCCATTTCTTGACTCCATAATGACAAGCATTACATTCAACTCTAGTTCTTCACAAAAAAATGTGTTTTCTACTGTTAGCACAATTGTAATATTTATCAAAACAGGCAACTGTTTTAATGTTACAACTGGTAAAGTAGAAATCATTCTGAAACTGGTGTCACTGACTGATAAAGGGGCCTTAAAAGGAATTAATCCCAGTCATCTGTTCTTTCAAGTCCAGTTAGGAGATAATTCAGGGCTTTTTGGTTTTTTGTTTTTGTTTTTTTGTTGACATCATTCTTGGACCAGGCAGAATTGCCTGGATTCTAACTCCACATTTTCTCAAACCTCCAAAATGTTTCTATGGGACTGAATTCACCTCTGCAGATGAGTGCAGTCCTTTTAGGAGAAAGGAGTTCAAAATCTTGCCCCTTCTCCTATTTTGAAAAACAACACATGTTGCCCATCATAATAGAGTATTTGTTAGCTGATAGATGGTTGTACTGATGGCTTGTTTTTCATTTTTTTTTGTGCTTTTTGGTCCATCTATTAATAAAAATGAACCCCGTTACAGAGTCACCATCATGTCTCTTCTCACCACCCTCTGAGTCTGCATTAGCCAGTCAACTACCCCTTTCAGCGTCATGTGACCAGCGCGCCCCATTCAGCTTGGCTGGTGTCGTTTCACATGACCCAGGCATGGCCAGTCGCCAGGTTGCACCGCCCTTTGGTTCCCGAGCATGCTGTTTTCTCTCAGCCTTCTCTCCAACCTTAACCAAATCGGCAGCAGCCACCTCGACCGCCCACACATTCCTGGCCAATCAGCTCAGCTGTTTATTTACCAAATGTCTTCACAACAACTACAGCAGCAGCCTTCGGCTAACAAAAAAGCAGGAAAAATCCACAACACCCCCTTCGCCAACCAACTAAATCCAACGCAACATCTGGCAAAACCTTTTCAGCAAATTCTTCCTGGCCGTCAGTCCGGCAGCCTCACCTCACCATTTCTAGCTTGTTGAAACCCAAAACTAGTAAGTTTTTCCTGCTTATACAGTTTACTGCTGGTTAAAAATAAGGAGTAAGCGGCTTAAAGTAATTCTTTTTTTCTGGATCAAAGGCTGGCTGTGCATAATTGAATGGTAACGTACATATATATATTGCTTGAATAAAACTTTTAAGGGTGATAGGGAACTCATAATGTAACCAGACCTTCAAGTGGAACTTACTTGCATGTGTGAGATGCCAAACTAAAAATTTTAATTTCTAACAGATTTAGCTTTTCTTCTAGCAAAAATTTGTTGAATCCTTATCACCTTTAAATGGTTTTACTAACAGTTTTCAAAATTTAAAAACAATTTTGGGGTGCAGGGGGCCAAACTAAGGTAATTTTGATAAGCCTAAAACACACTCTTAAATGTGACAATCACAAACGGCAGTTCTAATGTAGCACTTAATGGCATCGATATTTACACCTAGCGCATTTTCACAAAATTACACTGTTCACCTGGTTACCTAAGTCTTGTCATGAACTTCTAGGTTTGCATGGGTTCCAAATACTGGTTTATAGTACTGTTTATGGAACTACCTTGGTGGGGACACATTTGGTGTGTTTGGGTAGTGAAGTTAGCGTGATAAGTTTTTGCATTGGACAGATCTGCTGTGAAGCATTCTTTGTTAAAGTGGTTGGAATACCTGCTTTTCACTTGAACATTTTGTTCCTTAATCCCTCTGTGCCCCCTACCCTTTAAAAAAAATTTTCTTTCTTGGGTTTTTTTCCTTCTTTTTTTTTTTCCAATTTCTGTTTTGTTTTGTTTGGACGATGGGTGCCAGTTCTTCCGGCACATTCACTGGGCCCAACAGTGAGATTGAAAAGTTGGGAAATGCCTCACGCCATTGGTAGTAATTGATGATTAGCCTGATTTTCCTTCTTCTGCTTTTAGATCTCCAAGAAGAAGAAGCTTCTCTCGGAGCCGGAGCAGGTAGGTAGAGAACTAGATCGCCCCTGTATTGGTGCAGATTTCTTTTTTTGGTGTAAATTTCTTAAATGGCAGCACTGTCTACTATTCCTGTTCTCAATGATGGAACTAATGGTAGTAGATCTGGTACTAGAGAATCATAGAGGGTATATGTTAATCTAGAGTTGCAAATTGTAAGAATGACATAACTTTGCATGTTTAAAAACGTAAAATTTTTTCTTACATTTTACCTGTTTATCTTTTCTTGTTTAGGTCCCTTTCTAGAGACAGGAGAAGAGAGAGATCACTGTCTCGGGAGAGAAATCACAAGCCATCTCGATCCTTCTCTAGATCTCATAGGTAAGTTACAGTCTTAATATCTTGTATTAATAGGCTGGCCTGGCAGACAAAATATACTCAGTATTACAAAATAGTTGTAAGTTATTTTGAGAACTTTTTACCTTAGAAAGAAATTTGAGATTACAACTAATTTTAAATTTCCCCTCCCCGCCTTTTTTTTTTTCTTTTTTTTTAGCCGATCTAGGTCAAATGATAGAAAATAGAAGAAGATGAGTTTCCAAGAAGAGTAAAGGTGTAAAGGAATATGAAGAATAAAGGTGTAAAGGAATATGTACAGAGAATTCGTTTTGTTTGAGACTCCATAAGCCTGGTGCATTTTTAAGATGTTAACTGTTTGGAAGTTTGAATTTGTTTCTTACAACAGTGACACATGAAGATGTAATTCTCTTTGGTTTGAAATGGATCATATGAGGCATGTAATACCAAGAATTTATTTTACAATGTCCCCTTAAGCACCATTGAGTTTGCTTTTGAACTTTTTGAACAGTCTTGCCGACTGATAATAAACCTCTAACTATTGCCCAGGTAGTGTGATAAAACTGGCAGAAAGCAGAATCAAGTGTTACCTAAAGCTGGGATTCTAGGATGCAGCTGTGGTTGAATAAGCAGTATTTAAAAGCTGCTAAGAATGTCAAAACACAAAAAAGCTGCACTACCAAGGTTAGAGGTTTTTTTAAAAAAATTTTTTTAAAAAAAATCCAAGTCTTCACCATGGACAGAAGTTGCCCAGTATAGAATCTGAGAAGTTTCAAGAGTTAGTATTTTAGTTTTGCTTTAGGTTACAAATACTTTGTGATTGTGGTATTTGAAAGCTGTATGTAAGGTCATTTATTTGAAAATAGTACAAAAACCAAAATCCTACCAGTTTAAGGGTACATTGTAGAATAGAGCTCTCTTGAGTTACTGTATAAGATGGATATTTGGTTGTGGGTTTTTTTTCTACACCTCCTATGCTGTCATTTGTAACATGTTTTGTGAGAATCCTTGGGATTAAAATTTTGGTTATAAATTATTTTAATTTGGAAGCTTGTTTTTACTTGCAAAACAGTCTGTGAGCTTGGTGTCAAGTCCAGGCGTAACATTCCTATTGGAAGCCATACTTAACATTTCCTTGTAAAGTGCTTTTGAAGTAATAAAATAATTAGCATAATTGTATAATATAGTCAGTTGCATCCATTCTTGTCCCATGAAAAATACTTGGCTACTTAATTCCTAGAACAGTTGAGGCACAATGAATTTTATGTTTCTGTTGTCACCCTAATTGAATGATTGGTACCATTATTAGAAGCCAGATCAGGCTCCATGAGAACATCTAGTGACCAGATTTCCAAGTGTAGCAACCTCTGTTAACATTGTAGCACAAATTGGCCATGAAAGCTGTTTTTTGTCATTAACATGAAAACTTCAGTTTTCAAATTTGCTTTCATTGTACATAATTTGAATTGATGCGTGAGAATTCCAAATGGATCCATCATGATGTAAAATTTCATACGGTTTGTATATAACAGTGGAGAATTGAATATGGAGGTATATATAACTTGAGCTGGAATCAGGAATTGTATACATTTTGTGGCTTAGTTTACATAAATCTCTAAAGATTTATTTTGACTCTTAAAGATAAAAATTTATAACAAATTCCATTCATCCTTGAGAGAATTTGTAATCAGTTGTACATCTTTCAGAGAAATGCTTTTTTTTAAAAAAAAAATTTTTTTTGTGCCATTGTACCATCAAATCAGATCTGACTGGTTCAGGAGGAGATTGTCCCTCCTTCTCCAGGAAAGCATCTGGTGGATTTGAACCTGGCACATCTGGGATTGCAGTACAGCTTCTTGCCGCTAGGCCACCAGAGCTCCCTAGAGAAATGCTTTTAAAGTTGCTCTGTTACCCCATAAGACTCCTCATCTTGGGAGAAAAGCTAAGGTAGATAAAAAGTAATTTTTGTTGGTATAAATACACATTCATGTGAGGGTGTGTTTTTTTTTTTTTAACAGTACACTTAAGAATTACTCACTGTATACTCTTAGTATTTTAATAATTCCTCGAGTGGTCCAGTTCCTTGTGAGTTGTTTCTGTTTTCCAGAGTTAAGCACAAAAAAGTTTGCCCGAGAAATCCTTAACCAAATGAATTTTTAATGATACTGCAACCTTTGAGTGCTGTAGCGTATTCGTACATAAACCCTTACATGGATGAGAAGTAAGATTGTCTTAATATCAGGCCCTTTGATGAAGCTCATTGTGACAGGAGAAGAATTCTTAGATAAGTAAATTATCTGGTTGTAATACACTAGTTATCCGATCTGGTTGGTGGAGGTCTTCCATTTTTTAGCTACTAAATGGTTGCATTCTGGTTTTCTCAAGTTACTGAAGAACCGAGTGTAACTACATCAATCTTAGTTTATTAGATTTTATGTGCTCATAAATACCTGCAGCATTTTTATTCAGACATCATTAGATGAGTCAGAATTTTATCATACCTCTATCACAGAATGAATCCTGTGTAAAGTCATTCTTGCTAGCAATTCCTTTTATATGGAGAATGTGTGATCTCTACTTGTATGGACCATTTGAAAAGGAGAAAGATTATGGCTATAGTTGATAGTTTTGGGTGGTGGTCAATCCATACATAATTCCAGGAAACTCATTCTGTAATTTTTGGAATTCAATAATAAAGTTTTGCGGTGGGGTTGGCGGTTCACAGGACCAATTGGCTGTACATTTCTGTATCCTTAAGTGGTTGCATGGGGAGGTGAAACAAAAGCACTGAATTAAGCTGATAAAACTCTAATGGCCCATAAAATCATGACTTCAAGAAACAAATCCCGTTAAG